AAAAAAAAAAAAAAAAAAAAGACAACAAATTTAGCAACAGAACAAATCCACAACCAAGAAACAAACTTTCTACTTTAGGGAACAACTGAGTAAGAAACTCACAATCTGTTCAAATCGGCATGTCCCGTTCCGACATACTTAGCTTGAAGATGTTCGAGTTGGGAATTGATATTGAACCTGTCACTTGCCTGAATATATTTATAGGATTAAAAAAAAAAAAAAATCAATCAATCTCATAATTCAAGAAATTGGGGAAAATTTTTCACTAAATAGATCAAGAAATTAGGGTAGACTGTAGAAGTAAAATCAAAATTAGGGTTTTGATTCGAAGGACACACCTGCATCTTCAGAAATTGCAAGAAACCCAGAAACGAAAGGAAAGGATCTATTTTCGTCTTTTACAATTAAAGCCACCACCGCTTTTAGCCTCCAATTTGGGGAAAACAAATTTTTAGCCCAAATAACCCACTTTGCGGCCCGTAACAAACTTTTAGGCCCGTTTCAATAATCTTAAGATGGGCCTTTTTTTCTTTTCTATTTTCCTCTGAAAATTAAGAAATTGGTAAGGTTTAATACCCAATTTGGTCCTTAAACTTTCATTTTAGAACTTAGTTCGTACTTTAACTTCAAAAAGCACCCAAATTGTCCTTTAACTTTATTTTTCTGTAACCCAAATGGTCCTTCTATTAGTAGACTGCATACCTGGCACATTAAGTGTCCAACAATTACCACTTTTAATTTTTACAAGCCTACATGGAAAAAAACAACTCAGCCAATTGATTACATGGCACTATTTTCATTCCACCTCACATTCCCACCTCTCCCGCCTCTCCCACCTTCTGAATAAACTAGTGGGGAACTGCATTGCTATCATTGAAAAAAGAATAGAAGGGGAAACTTCTCACTTTTGCAGGAACAAAACCCTAAAAGCTCTATAATTTTCGATTGGATTTATTGACTTTTTACAATCAAACCAGATTGTATACATGGACCCGTCCTCCAAAAGTGGAGAAAAGAATCGTGAGGGACCATAAATCAGAGATCAAGAAGAGGAGGAAATCAAGGATCTGGTATGTTCTACCTTTTGATTATGCGAATCTTTTGAATAATGTAACTTTTGTTTGGCTTTTTTATGTCAGTATGATGTGGAATAGGGGTTGGAGTTGTCGGGTCTGTGTGGAAATGTGGAGACAACATTTGGTCCCACTTATTTGTTTCTATATGCTTAGATTCTTGCAGTATATAATTGAATATTGATTTTATCTTTATTCTATTGTATTATTGAATTTTTTTTTCTATGGTTACAAAGGTTTTTGGGCGGTTAAAGAATGTAGATGTAGTAAATGAGGTTGGTGGAAGTTGGAGCAATGAAGAAGAAGAAAATGAAATATTTAACAATGGTGGAAGTGCTAGTGGGGTCCATAATGAAGTTGGAATTGAAGACTTCAATATTATCATTGTGGACAGTGGTATGGTAGAAGATGTCCTTGAATTGTTTAACAATGAAGATAAGGAGACCATTGAAGCTAGGAAAATTTTGAGAAACTTCATAGTTTCTCAAGGAAAACTGAGAATTGAGAATGAGCAATCAGAAGATATTGTGGAAGTGGTATCTTCTAATATTGCTATTGGTGTAGGTTTGTCTATTTCTTGTTATAATTTAGGTTAAAACCTCTTTTTGGTCCCTGAATTATTGTACGGACCCCCAATTTGGTCCCTGAACTAAAAAAATCCTTAATTTGGTCTCTACTGTTTACCATTTTTACCCCGATTTGGTCATTCCGTCAAATATCAACCTACGTGTCTCGTTACTTGACGAGGAAAACGATGACATGTAAAAACATTTTGACGCCTAAGATGTACAGTGTGACAAAAAAATGAGATGGCAAGAAAAAAATCTTAAAAAATTTCTTATTCCTTTTTTTTTTTCTTGGTTTGTTTTTCCTTTTTCCCTTTCTTTTTCCTCTCCCTTTCCTTTAACCTTCTGCAAACCCTAACTCCTAATATTAAATTCAAGGATAACACAACAAATCAATAGATTAAACTCAATAGATATTTGACCCAACGGCTGTTGGGTTCGAAACGAAACCCAAAGCCTCACTTGCAGAAACTCAGCAGCTGCTCAAACCCACCGCTTGCTAGGTTCGATTTTGAACCCAGCACCTGCAAACGAACCCAGCACCTGCAAAAACCTAGCATTCGAAATTGAAAAATCGAATCCAGCATCGAACCCAACACCTGCAGTAACCCAGCAACTGCCTTCTTCATCCTCATCAATCAATTTTTCATCACAATCAAACAACAAAATCCAACAAACAAAAATAGAAAATTTTTTTTTAAAATTTTTTGCACCTGGGTTCCTTGCGAACCCAGCACGCCTGGGTTCCTTGCGGCGCTGGGTTCGCAAGGAATTGAACCCAAGCGTGTTGGGTTCTACCAAACCCAGGCATGCTGGGTTCCACCAAACTCAGGCATGCTGGGTTTGGTGCGAACCCAGACGCGAACCCAACACGCTTGGCGCTGGGTTCGCAAGGAACCGAACCCAAATGTGCTGGGTTCCACCAAACCCAGGCATGCTGGGTTCGGTGCAAACACAGACGCGAACCCAGCACACTTGGGTTCCTTGGAACCTAGCGCCTGGGTGGGTTCGAAAGAACCCAGGCCTGTTGGGTTCCGAGGAAAAAGAGAAGAGAAAGGGGAAGGAGAAAGAGAAAGGGAAAGGGGAAGGAGAAAGAAAAAAGAAAAAAAGAAAAAAAAATTTAAGTTTTATTTTTCATAATATTTTTTTATATTATTATTTTTTCCACATCATCACTTTTTGGTTATATTATCTTCCACGTGGATTACTATATGACATGTCATGTGGTAACCGTGAAGTAATAGGCCACGTCATACAATTTTTAACGAAATTACCAAATCGAGGTAAAAATGGTAAACAGTAGGGACCAAATCAGGGATTTTTTTAGTTCAGGGACCAAATCGGGGGTCCGTACAATAGTTCAGGGACCAAAAAGGGATTTTAACCTATAATTTATTATTTATTGCCTTTAATATCTGTTGTGTCTAATTTACTTTTGTTTATTTGTATAGGACATAATGATACAGTAGCAGAAATTGATGATGGAGCAATCCAATCTGATGATGATGTAAGCTATATTACAACAAGTGATGATGATGATGGTGAGGTTGAACATGGTAGAAGAAGAAAGGCTATACATTCAGTGTTTAAGGAAAATGAAGATTGGCCTATGTTAGGTCTTGGGATGATTTTTATTAGCAAGGAACAATTTAAAAAAGCTGTTGATGAGTTGAGTTTTAAATAAGATAGACATATTAAATGGGTGAAAAATGACAAGGTTAGGTTGAGGGCAATATGCAAAGAGGCTGAGAAAAAAGAGGTGCAAATGGAAGATTTTGTTGGCAAAGGATAGCCCATTAGACTCTTGGATGGTAAAGACTTTCCAACAAGAGCATACATGCGATTGGGATGTTGTGAACAAAAGGTTTACTTCACGGCATGTAGCTAAGCATTTAGTTAATATTAAAGGAGCAAGCTCTTTGTATATGAATTATGATAGCATTTCTCAAGCCATTTGGAATGAGAAGAATATTGAGTTAACTTTCGTGCAATGTAATAAGACGAAGCAGCAGTTGAAAAGGACTTTTGAAGGCGCTTCCAAGGCTGAATATGGCATGCTTTTCGACTTTGCTAATGAACTGAGGTCAAAAGATCCAAAAGCAAACATTGTTCTCCATGCTTATAGACCCACAACAGATGTTAACCCCACTTTTATGAGAATGTATGTATGTTTTAGTGCTTTGAAGAAGGGGTTTTTTGTTGGCTGTAGGCGTATCATTAGTGTTGATGGTGCCTTTCTTAAAGGCGCTCACAAAGGAGAATTGTTGACTGTAGTGGGAAGAGATGCAAACAATCAAATGTTCCCAATCACATGGGTAGTGGTTGTGGTTGAGAAAACAGAAACATGGTTATGGTTTTTTGAAGAATTAAAAAAGGATTTGCTAATGGGAGATGGAACCAAATTCTACATTATGTCAGACCAACAAAAGGTGTCATTTTGCTTTTAATTATATATATATTTTTCAATTTAAATAAGTTAATTATTTGTGCTAAATTGTACCAATTTAACAAGGCCTTATTCAAGCAGTTAAGGAGATTTTCCCTTATGCTAAGTACAGATTTTGTGCTAGGCATAAATACTGCAATTTTAGGAAGAAAAACAAAGGCAAAGCACTACAAATTGCTTTTTGGAAGTGTGAGAAATCAAACACCATTGCTGAATTCAACAAAGCTTTGGAAGAGTTAACCAAATTAAAAGCTTCAGCAAGGAATGGTTTATTAGATTCAGATCCAAAAGACTGGTGCAAGGCTTTCTTCAAAACAAATATAAAGTGTGATATTGTTGACAATAATATGTGTGAAGTCTTCAATGGTTTATTGGTGGATGCAAGACAAAAGGCCATAATTTCAATGAATCAAGATTTGAGGATATTTTGTGGAAAAAGGACTATTGCAAGAAGAGGATTTGTTGAGTCCAAGTTTGTTGATGATTTCAGTATTGTAGCTAATGTCCATGGAAGCAAAAGGTGCATATTAATTTGGCCCGGTGGAAATAAATATGAAGTTATGGAAGATGATACAAATGGTTTTGTGGTTGACTTGGAGAACAGAAAATGTACTTGCAGATCTTGGGATCTCATAGGAATTCCATGCAAGCATGCTGTTACGGTAATTAATGCCACCAAGCAAAAGGTGAAAGACTATGTAGCCGAGTGTTATAAAAAAGAGGCATTCTTAGCCTCTTATTAGTTTGAAGTGCCTGCCATTAAAGGAATGAGTCAATGGAAAAAAACTGGAATGCCCCCTATTCAGCCACCAATGACAAAAAACATGCCGAGAAGACCAAAAAAGAAGAGAGTTTTGGAAGAATGGGAAGGTCAAACCAAATTCAATAAAAAAGGGAGATTGATGACTTGTCAAAAGTATTTTAAAAAGGGCCATAATTCAAGATCATGCAAAGAATAAGGACCCACAACTATGAGTGATTATTTGTTTTTTTATTCTTTTATTTAGGTTGTAATAATGTTTTTTCAATTTTGGTACAGGCCCCTCAAAATGTAAATGACAATGAAGAACAAGTTCTTGTGACTGAAGCATCAAATCCACCAACTACCACTGAAGAACAGGTTCCTAATTTAGCTACTGTCTAGCAAATTGTGTAGCAACATATCCAGCAATTGACTCATTTTCAGCAAACTGTCCAGCAACTCACTCCTATCTAGCAACTTGCTCTTGTCCAGCAACTTGCTCTTGTCCAGCAACTTGCTCTTGCCCAGCAACCTAGCAAAAGAGTCAAGCTCCCTATTAGAAGGTCTTCATCTTCAAAAGTTGCTCAAACCCCTCCTCTTGATGGTACATTATTAAGTGAAGCAACTCTTGTCCCAAGTGAAGGGGATATTCAAACTCATATCCAGCATCCCAAAAAAAATGCCAAGACCCCAACAAAAAGGCAAAAGCAAAAGGTAATTTATTATTAATTTAGTGTTGTTGCACTATTCTTTGAAAAGATGTAGTACTTAGTCTTTAATTTGTTTGTTTCTTGAAATTTCAGGCAGAGTTTTCTACTTCTTACGCCAACATGCATTTTCGTTAAAATCATGCACTTAATTGCACTTGATTTTGTAATTGTTTTCTGCTTCTTATGCCAACATGCTTGCTTCTTTATTTATGTCCATGTGGGATGAAAAACCTTTTTCAATTATGTTCTCTTGGATTTTTGTCTTTTCAAACTATCCATGAACTACTTGGAAGCTACATAATTTGGTTTAAGCAATTCTCCCCACTATAGATGTTTCTTGTCTTTTGTAGTTTCCATTATAACTCTCTCCTATTGATCTGTTCTTATCTCTTTAATGTGTAAATGGGATGACAGATTTAGAAAAAAGGGAAAGTAGTAGTGTTGCGTTCTTTTAGATTAAGACTAAATTATGTGCTTCATGTAGAAGTTTTCTTCCTTTAGTTTTTGCTAGATACTATAGAAATAATCCTTCTAGATGAAAGAAATTTAGAGCGGAAGAAGTGGATTAATCAATTTATATTTTAAAATTTTCAAAAAGCCAGTTAAATGCATAATGTCTTTTGGCTATACAATGTAATGGACAAATAAGATAGTTGAAGGCAATAAATATCAAAGTTCCCTTTTTTGGCTTTATAAAATTGTGAAGAAATAATGTCTTATGGTATGATAGGGTTGATAACTACATAATTGCTTGAATTATCATTTTCT